GGCTCAAGCAGTCGGGCAAAAGGTGGTACGACTGCTTGGCCAAGGCCCTCAGATCCATGGGCTTCGAGGCCACCTCAGCTGACAAATGCTTCTTTACGAGGAGAGAAAACGACTCATTCGAAGGTGTGCTCGTTTACGTGGACGACATCTTGTACATCAGCAAGCACAAGGACAGGTGTGACAAGTTCGCCACCGACCTGGGTAGCCACTTCTCCTTAAAGTCACTTGGAAAGATTGACAGATACCTAGGGGTCCAAGTGATAAAAACCAACAAGGGCTTCCGACTCTCCCAGAGAGAAAAGATCATCGAGCTGCTGTCCAAATGCAACATGTCCGAAGCAAAACCCAGCGAGACCCCCATGCAACCCGAGTTCCTGAAAACCATGTATGAGGAATCTGAACCCTTCACAGACAACAAACTATATAGATCAACGATAGGGTCACTGCTGTACATATCCAACTGGACCAGGCCCGACATCGCCTTGGCCGTCAACCTGCTGTCCAGACATGTAAGCAAACCTACGATAACACACTGGAACGCCATCAAAAGACTACTTAGATACTTAAAATTTAGTGCAGATGCCCTACTCTGCCTAGAACCAGAAACATCCAAGGAACCAAAGCTGACCTGCTACGCTGACGCCGACTGGGCTGGGGACATAGAGTGCAGAAAAAGCACCTCAGGCTACGTGCTACTACTCAACAATTGCCCCATCCACTGGTACACTGGAAAGCAAAAACTGGTGGCCACATCAACCACGGAAGCAGAATTTGTTTGCCTATCAAAGGCCGCAAACAATTTAGTATGGTTCGATGACCTGCTCTGCGACATCTGGGCTGAACCCTCATATCCAATAGTTATCCACGAAGACAACAAGGCAGCGATAGAAATCTCTAGGGCCGATGCCATAGGTCAGCGTTCTAGGCACATTGACATTAAATACAAACACGTCAGGCAGTTTTCAGAGATAGGCTTCATTAGGGCAGTGCACTGTGACACAGAGGAGCAAACAGCAGATATTCTCACTAAACCCCTACCACATAAACAACATGCTTACCTCATGTCAAAAATGCGTGTTTGCTTATAATTCATGCCTGTACCAGTGTATTCTCTGTATGTATGCTAACACCGCCTCAGGTACCCAGTTAGGCATTTAGAGGGGGTTTTGTCATGATAAAATGCCTAACTGCCATGTCTCCCTGATCCCCCGGACCCTCAAGGGTTAACTAACCACATATCCCATAATCCTTATAACCACTCCTTACCTCTTGACCCCTCCTCCTGGGTACAAAAGGTCCAACCGCATGGTCCACAGCTCATTCCAGATGTATACCTGAAAGAGAAAGGTACAAGGTCAGTGACCTCCAGTACCAACTGATCAACAATAAAACTACTGAAAAGAATTGGGCTATGTCTTTGAGTTATTGGGCTAGATCCAGTTTCTAACAACTTCTTGTCCTGTGTTTCCCTGCATGGTTCCTGCTGAGAAGTACACAGTCAGAAGGAGAGACGGCTGGCAAGGTGGAAATCTCTGGGTGGGTGGAGAGACAGAATATATGCAAAAAAAAAAAAGGGGGGGGGAGAATATCAATGGGGCTGTGGCACATCAGCCTAAACTTCGTGCCCATTTTTAGAAATGACACTCAGCTTTCTCATCCTTAATGCTCTTTAATTTACAGACTCCATGCAAAAAGGGCACTTCCAAAATATTAAATTCTATCAGCGTGACTTCATGCACATAGCATTTCAGCCACACCTAAAAAATGCAATATAGAAAATGTTCCCTAGAAGACAGCCAGCTCAAGCCCTGAATATATATATATTTATAAATAATAAAAAAAACATCCTAATTCTCTCATTCCTTGACAGCTGAATTAGCATAGTTCTTCGCTCTCTCTCTCTCTTTCCTTGTGGCAGTGAATTCAAGAGGAACTTTAGTCCTGACGGTGCTTAGGTGTTTGGTAAAAACACCAGGAAGGGTTCGGAAAAACTCGTAGGAGGAACACCAGCCAATGCGTTGCTCTGTTTTAAAGGCCGCCCCACGCGCAGGCTCTGCCTTGCCTCTTTGGCAAAACAAATGCAGAAAGGATTCACCCCACACAGAAGGAGAGGGGTGCTCCAGCCCAGAAAGGGGGGCTGTCATTTGGGGGCACGATAGGAGTGTGTGGGGGGGTGTCCTTTGGGGTGCCATCTTTGTAGGGCGCTTACTCTGAGAATGCGGGTGATCAGAGGCCGTCCCTTCCTTCCCTTTGCTGGTTCGGCTAAGATGGTGGAGGGTTTTTTTTCTCTCTCTCCTGTGGGTGCACCGAATTTAGGGCTCAGCAACGTGAGAAAAATCTGGAGGGGAAATAAAGCAAAATTTCACACAGCCCGGTATGTTTGCAAGATTGATGTGGGAGTAAGTCCCGAATGTTGAATGCTGGTGTGGGATTCTGCCATTCGCCTTCTGTGGCCCTCGAACACCTAACTAAGGGGGTCCCCAGCAGATGCTGGAGGGGCACAACAGAGTTTCAAGGGCAGGGGGAGAGTCTGGAGAGCTTTAAACGGAGATTTACAAGACGTTGGGGGGGGGGTTTCCTTCCTGGCTTTCTGAGCACTCAGCTCAGCCCTGTTTAGCACCTCTTGGAGCATCCCAGTTCACACACACACACACACACACACACACACACACACACACACGTCCCTGGTCAGAACACCAGAGTCCACTTAGATCGAGCCAGGTCAGAGCCGGCCTCGTCTGCCCTTCTGCTCCCCCTGTGGCTGACCCAACCCCTCTCTGTCTGCAGCCCAGGCCAAGCCTCCTCCATTCAGTAGCAGCAAAGAGGAGCTGGGAGCTGCCAGGCAGGGTCACGGGGAAGTAACGGCCCCCTCCTGCCAGGAGGAGCAGCAGTGGCGGCTTCTTTGCACTAATGAGCCATCTGCTCGTTAGGCAGCCTGTGAAATATCTATCCCCCACCCCAGAGGCAGCCGAGAGCAGCCCACCGTTCCCCACATCGCTCAATTGTGGTGGTTTTTTTCCCCTCTCCTCCGGCTCAGCGGCCCCAAGACCTGCGAGAACCCCGGAACCCTTCGGCAGTTGGGAGTTGCCAGGTGGAGGGGTTTCTCTGATGCAGACCCCTTGGCTAAGTCTTGTTAGAAAAAGCCTGGGACCCCAGAGATCCCCAGAGATCCCCTTGGTGGCGTGGTTTCCTCCCTGGGTAATTGCACCGTCTCCATTGTTGTCGGTCTGGTCGCTTTCCAAAATTGCTGCCGATGTTCCTCTGGTTTTTATGGCCGTTAGAGGTGGGGCTGCTGGGTTTTGAGACCCTGGCCCACACCAGCCGAAAAGCCGCCCTTCCTTCGCTCCCAGCCTTCCCAGTACAGACCAGAGCATCGCGGTGCTTCTGCCGGTCAGCAAAAGCGGGAAGCTCTTCTGCCATTATTCAGGACGCAGCCAGGGCAAAGCAGGATGTTTTGCGGTTTAGCGTTTCTGACATCTGCTTTTTTTTCCCCTCCTTTTTTTCTTCCTCCAAATCCGGCTGGCTCACATCCTCCTCTGCTGCCCATGATCATCTTGTGATTTTCTGAAAAGAAAATGTGCCCACGTGCAGGAGGGCCCTTTGCAGCGCGTGTGCTCCGGACGGCAGGGGCCCCTTCGGTTTTCTGGCCTGGTGCCCTCCAAGGGGGTCCCCTGCCAGGCCCAGAATCCCACCCGCCCCCCAAGGGGGAAATTCTGAAAACCGAAATTGCAAATTACGTGGAAGGATGTTAGGCTTTGCCAAAAACTCCACGGGGCCGTGATGCTGGCAAGGGAAGACGTGGCCCAGATAAGGCTCTTGAACAGAATCTGTTTCAATTTATTCCTTTTGTTTTAAAGGAGGCCAAAGAAAGAGATATTCATTCTGCAAATCTCGTCTAAATGTTGATTGAAGCGATATTTAAATAAACCCTTCATTGTTTCACAATAAGTTAACTCGTTTGTTCTGACGGTTACTGACGGTCTCAAACCGGCTAATGGCATTCTTTTTTTGTGCCGCTTAAAATGAAAATGTTACAAATATTGGACGGTTATTCCACAATATTTGATTTAGCAACTGGTGATTTCGTTGTTTTTTTTTTTAAATGAGCCAGAGGCCCCGTTTATGTCCTCGATCACAATTTTGAGCAATGCTGTTTGCGGTTTGGAGGTGTTTTTGTTTGACTGTTATTTCTAGACTGTTGACATTTCTTCCAATGAAAACAATTAACATATATTAAACAAAATATCTGTTACAATCTATCTTCTTATTTCTGGGCAGCCATGCAAGTATTGTTGGGTTTAAAATTTGAATAATAATTGGACGGATTTGGAAAATCAACATCAGAGGGCGGCCTTTTCCCTTAGGGCAGCCCGGAGGGAGCATCCAGGCCACTTAGGATTCCCAGGGAACGGTCCAGCTAGTCCTCGGCTTACAACAGTTCACTCAGTGACCGCTCGAAGTTACACCGGCACTGAAAAAAGTGACTTATGACCAGTTTTCACACTTACGACCGTTGCAGCATCCCCCACGGTCACGTGATTTACATTCGGCGGCTTGACCGCTGGCTCACGTTTATGACGGTTGCAGTGTCGCGGGGTCACGTGATCCCCTTTTGCGACCTTCCAACCAGCAAAGCCAAGGGGAAGCTGGATTTGCTTAAAGACTGTGTCATTTAAGAACTGCAGTCATCCACTTAATGAATGTGGCGAGAAAAGTCATAAAAAACAACAAATTTCTCACTTAACAACCTAAATTTCAGGATCAGTTGTGGTCGTAAGTCAAGGACTTCCTGTAACTGGTTGGAGTCGCTGCCCAGAATGAGGCAGTTGGCCTCCCAAATGTCAGGAGGACTTCCTGTCCCGGGGGGGGAGAGGGCGGAAAGCTGAATCGTAAGCCGCGACTGGCCCTCTTCCCAGGGGGGAGGCCCTCCCGTTAGCCAGCCGGGGCTCCCTTGGGCCGTTTCCCACGAGATGAAAGTGATCTGTCTTTCTCTTCTGCAGAAACGATGAGACGAGTGGTACGACAGAGCAAGTTCCGGCACGTGTTCGGCCAGGCAGTGAAAAATGACCAGTGTTATGACGACATCCGGGTGTCCCGTGTCACGTGGGATAGCTCCTTCTGCGCGGTCAACCCCAAATTCGTGGCAATAATCATTGAAGCCAGCGGGGGTGGAGCCTTCCTGGTTCTGCCTTTACACAAGGTAAGTAAGGGGATTATTATTATTTTTTTCCTGTTCCTGTAATTATGTCAACCCCGTAGCTTTAATGCACCTCCTTATTGCAAGATTTATTACAAGATTTAGCCTGGATTTCCTCTCTGCCCCTTGCCCAAATTGAGCATGCAAAATGCACTAAGGATGAAACAGCAGAGGGAAGATTGGTATTTCATAGCACTCTAACTACCCCTGACCCTTCGTCCGTTACCTAAAATTTCTCTCCAGGGCAGTTTCTGAAATTGTGGCTGCTCCTAACAACCCTGGAGGCTTTTAAGAAGAAACTGGGCAGCCATTTCCCTCAAATGGCATAGGGTTTCCTGCCTGAGCAGGGGGCTGGACTAGAAGACCTCCAAGGTCCCTTCCAACGCTGTTATTCTGTTATTTTAGGGAGTGCATATGGCAACGAACCCTTTCCTAAGCAGGACACAGGGCTAGCTACGGTCCCAAGGGGCATCTATAGTCCCAATCCTGCAGGTGAAAACGACTTCCTGCCTCTCTATTGTACCAGGGGGACGATTGAAGGGACTTGGCTCTTTCTTTCCTGTGTAAGTGAGGCCAGCGTGGATTTGTTCTCTGCAACCCACATCCCTTTGCAGTGAGTCACGGAGCTGAGACGGCCTCCTCCTCCCTCCCCGCTGATTTCCAGCCCAGGGAAGAGGGAAGCTTCCTTCTCTGCTCACAAGGCCAAGCCAAGAACTCAGGGAGGCTCAGAAATGCCTCTTGGGTAGAGAGAGAGAGAGAGAGAGAGGCCGGCTTGGGCAGCCCCCAACCTGCAGTCCTGGACCTCAGCACATTTCTCGGGAGGCGGGTTGGTGAAGAAGAGGACTGAGCCCAGCCCACTGCTGGCCCTGGAGAGAGGGAAGCTGCAAGGCTCACTTCCTCCTGCTGGGTTCTGGGAAATCACACCCTCCTCTTGCAAAGAGCCCTTTGAGGTGTAATGGATGCCTTGGGGGACTCTGGGAGAGAGCGGTGGGTGAAGGGCCCTTTTCTCTGGAGCAGAAGCTGGCAAGGACCCTGCCCCAAAGAGGGAAAGAGCTCAGGGCAAAAGGCCTCCGGGGCTAAATCTCCCCAGCCAGCTGCAATCTTGGTCGCCCCCAGCCTGCCTGATGAGCTCTTTCCTCTCCTCTCCTCTCCTCTCCCCTCCCCAGAAGCTTTGCCCCCTGCTCCCCCACAGCAGAAGGTGGGAGGCTCAGGCGGCAGCAGCCTATCTCCCTGGGAGGGGGCTCTGCTCCTTCGGCCTGGCAGCCTCCTTTCCCTTCTAGCCCGTTTTCCCCTCTGGGCTCCGTTCGAGAGGAGCCGCGTATTGTGTGCGCCTTCAGCCTCGCCTCCACGGGGGCTGCAGCATTTCCACGAATCAGTCTATCGGCAGCAGGCCCCGTCGGGCCCTGGCCGTGGTTTTTACCATATATGGCCATTAGAGCTCTTTCGGCTGCAGCCGTCCTGAATAATATCCACCCTCCGCTTTGATTGGCCACTCGGAGCCCACAGGATGGAGGGTTGGCTGGGAGCTGCTGCTGCAGCCGCCTGAAGTCGGGAGGAGGAAGAGGAGGAGGAGGAGGAGGGTGAACGCTCTTCCCTGGCTCTTTCTGGCGTTCCCCGCCCTGCACCCTCTGGGCACCGGCTGGGCTCAGCCCTGGGAGGCAGCCTGTGGAGAGGGCAGCCCAGGCGGAACAAATGTGCTCTGCCTGGAATTGCAAGGCAGGTGGGGAAGCGCCCCCCTCTTCTCCCCCCCCCGTGTTCCCAAAGCGTCTCTGTTCCAGGAAGGAGGCTGGAAGGGCAGCGAGTGGGCACCCACCGGCCTGCTAAACCCAGGAAGTCCATTCCTTCGCAGAGGTCTTTGTTTCAATAAAACAAAGGAACTTTGGACAGGGAAATGGAAGGGAAAGCAATGCCTAGCAAACCCAAAGACTCATTGGGAGCAAACCTCACCAGAGACCGGCCTCCGTTGCCCTGGAGATTTAGAGAGGATTTCTCCCAAACTGGGGGGACTTCAGCTCCCAGAATTCCCAGTCCAGTGCTGAGGCAGCTGGGGATTAAAGTGGACTCTTCTGGAGGGCGACCAGGTTAAATGAAAGCCAGTGGCAAATAGCTGAGCTCTCATCTCGCACATGGCCGTACAAACCATAATTGGTGGCTTAGTGCCGTGTTTCTCAGCCCTGGTCTCTTTAAGACTCCAGCCCTGCTGGAAACGAAGAGCCCTTGCTTTCTGGAAGCCCCATCCATGGAAATAATAAAATTGTTGGAAAGCCCCAGAAAGATTTTCCTTTCCAAGCCAGAACTTTGTCTTTTGGGTGGGGTTCCTCTTAAACTTGAATTTTTCTTCCCGTTTCCCTTTCCTTGATCCGTGAGCCTCGGCCAGGAGTTCACGGTTTGCCTTCAGCGTTACTCTGCAAATACAGATTTCCCCTCCCTTCTGTTCTGGAGTCACCGGTGCTCAAATCAAGACCCGGCTGGCTTTAGAAAAACCTCCACACTGTGAGGGGCCAAAGCCGAAGAGTGGCCGGCAGGCTGGCTCCCAGGCTCCAGAGGATTTCCTTACTTTTCCTCTCCCAAACAATTTCCCCTAAATAAATAAACAAGTCGATGCACAGATACACTGAAGGGTTTTTTGGTAAGGCAGCGTGTGTTTCTCCGCGAGGACATATGGGCTCTGCCGTTTGTAGTCTCCGGCAAAAGCGTCTTTTTGTCCTGCTTGCGTGAAGTTTAATTTAGTTTCTCTCCCTATTGTGGTTGGTTGTCCCCTCCCAAAAAGATGCAGCTCACAGTTTCCACAGGAAGTGTGTGCAAGTTGTTGCCTGCCACTGCGGACGGAGGGCGGGGCCCCACAGCATTCGGTGGTGCTGTGAATTGCTCCGGCTTCTGCTTTTGGCCCCTTCCCCCAAGCGAGGAAAGGCTGGGGGATTCTGGGAGTTGAAGTCCACCCATCTTGAAGCTGCCAAGGTTGAGAAACGTGGCTCATTAGCCTTGCTTCCCTGTCTCGTTTAGCCTTGATTAGTCTTGCTTCCCTATCTCATCCCCCACTCTTATCTTGCAAAACTAGGTGTGCCACCTTCCCTCTGTCCTTCAAGACTTTTCTTTTTCTCTGTTTGATCTTGAACGCTCCTCCTTGCCCCAAGAGAGACCAATGGAGCAGGAGGACCCTCGAATTCTCTTATCGTTGACATTGCCACCCATCTCCAAGGGTTCTCCCGAGAGAGAGAGAGAGAGAGAGAGAGAGGGAGAGAGAGAGAGGGAGGAAGGGGAAGGGAGAGGGAGAGAGATGCCCGTTTGGGGTCTCTGGAGTAGCTTGAATCATCTCTACCCTCAGGAGTCTTTGAAGGAGGGTGGCCTTGGCAGGCTAGGTCCCTCTCCCCCTCCCCCTTTGTGGAATGGCAGCTCCTCCTTATCTCAAAGAGGGTTAGTCATGGTGATCCCAGCCGGCCTCATGGATGATTAATGGCCATTTGTCATGGGCTGAACTGTTGGCAGGGCCTCTCCATTTAAGCCTGGTGCCTGGGCAGAAACCATCTGGGTGCTTTTGGTAGGTAGACGTGGGGGCCCTTGTTAGGAGATAAGCGGCGGCTGGGGTCTCTAGCCTTGGGGGCAGGGATTGACGGCCTCAGAAGATCCTATTTTGCAGTTCAAACCCATTCTCTGTGGTCTGGCATCCTTCCTCCTCTGCTCCATCCTGTAAAACGAAACGTGGAGTATATAAGCCGCCAATGCCACTTTCTAGGAGTCCCCGTTTCCCTTTTTCTCAACTGGGATCCAAAAATGGATCCAGGAAGGATTTCCCTGCATACAAGGCAGGGCTTTTGTCCTAAGGAAGATCTTCAACACAGGACATCTGTGCAGAAATACGTCCGTCTGTAGGACTCGATGGAGCTGCCTTTGGGGGCCACTGTGAAGGCTTGGAAGGCTTGTATAAAAGAAATTAGCCGTCTTCCTCTTTTGCAGCTCACTGACACACCCATCCATCCATCCCACCGTCCCTCCCTCCCTCCCTCCATCCATCCACCCACCCATCCGCAGCCTCTGTGTTTCTGCTGTGGTTCTGGGTTGTCCCCGTGAGCCAATGGCTTTTCCACCGGGGAACTTAAGTGCTGCCTCCCAGCTGCGCCCACGTCCCTTCCCGGCCACGCATCCCCCACCCCCCCAACCCCCGTCATCAAGAGGAAAGCAGCCTTGGCTCCTGAGCGCAGGGGGGTCTTGCTGGGCCTCTCTAGTTCAAGAAGCTTCCTCTGAGCGGCTGCCTTGCTTCTGATTCTGTCCGGCAGGCCCAAGGTCAGACCGCTGGCAAGAAGCCCCGGTTCCCGCTGCTTCGGAAGCCTTTTGTAGAGTGAACTTTGGGTTTTAAAGGCTGACCTTCCCAGCGTTGGCTGCGCAGTGGCCCAAGCTGCGATCCAGGAGCAGAAATCCAGCCATAAACAGAAGCCCAAAGGGAGTGCCGGTCCTTCTCTGGACGGGATGCAGCCGCCGGGGCTCCTCGCATGCAAACCTTGTGAAATGAAGCTCCTGCTTTTCTAGAGAGCTGATGCATTCAGACGCGGGTGGAAACTTTTGCAGGGAGACCATAACTTAACTGTTGAGCCCACCCTTCCCTTGCCAAAATTCCCCGATTGAGTTCTCGGGGTCCCCAATGCTACAAATGAAAGAGGAGCTGCCAAGGACACGTTAATCTTCGCATACCTGTGACACGGCCTCCTTTATCTCCTCCTCTTCAGACAGGTAGAATCGACAAGTCGTACCCCACCGTTTGTGGCCACACCGGACCAGTGCTGGACATTGACTGGTGTCCTCACAACGACCAGGTGATCGCCAGCGGCTCAGAAGACTGCACGGTGATGGTGAGTGTGGCGCCTCGCTTTCGTTTCTGGCAGTTGTTCATTGCTCGTTCAGGTAACGCTTCCTAGCCAATCGCCAGGCCCTGCTGAGCAGATGGTTTATTAATGGGTGCCGGGACGTGAGGCGGAACTAATGTCATTAGGAGGTCTGGCCGGAGTTAAGCGTCTGAGCGGAGGGAGAGGGGCGTTTGCTTCTAATCCTGGCTGTCTGGGGAGACTCGTGCAGCCCAGGAGGGGAAGAGCCTTCTGCAGAAACGGCTCTTAATGCTTCGGCCTGATGGCGGATATCCTCGGCAGCTCACGCGGCTGCGAGGCTGGGCACACTCACGGGAGCCTCCGCTCCTCCAGGGGGAAGTGAGCACAATGGACAGCTCATCACTGCCTCCCTCTGGCCCTCCTGCAAGTGAGCGCTTGGCCAGAACATCATCCAGGGTGAAATCCAGCAGGTCCTGACAGGTTCTGGAGAACTGGCAGCGGAAATTTTGAGTAGTTCAGAGAACCAGCAAATGCCACCTCTGGCTGGCCCCAGAGTGGGGTGGGAATGGAGATTTTGCAGTATCCTTCCCCTGCGACGCCCACCAAGCCACGCCCACAGAGCCGGTAGGGGAAAATTTTGGATTTCACCCCTGGTTGGGAAGCAAGAAAGAGTCAAGGAAAGTGAAGTGTGTTTGCTTCTCTCAGGCTCTGAAACACGCTAAGGAGGGGCGTCTCTGTTGGGCGGCCATCCAGGGAGTTCACACGGATTAGGCGACATGTCTCGGCCGAAGATCATCTGGGGTGGTTTGCCAAGAAAACGGGTGCCAAGGATGACTCCTCTGGCAGAGTCAGAGGACACGTCTTCTGGATAGTCAGAGTGGCCCCACCAAGACCCTAAACCCAACACTGGACTGAATAGCCATTGAAGGGCCCACTCTTCCATGGAGACATCTGGATCTTTCGTTCTGGAGAATTCAGTGGCACCAAGAGCTGGTGGAAAAAGGAACAAGTCCCAGAAGACTTGAGAGGGGGCAGATTTTCACAGGGTTGAGATGGAGCTGGTTGTAAGGTCCTGCTGGCTGGGGCAAATTCTCCTCCCAAATGGCTTGAGGGTTGATACGTAACCCCCTTCCCTTCTCTTGGCAGGTCTGGCAGATCCCAGAGAACGGCCTCACGCTGTCCCTGACGGATCCTGTGGTCATCCTAGAGGGCCACTCCAAACGAGTGGGCATTGTAGCCTGGCACCCCACCGCCCGCAATGTGCTGCTAAGCGCAGGTAGGCCGAGAAATGGGATGCGATGAGCTTGCCCGTGGGCCTTTGGGGTCAGGCTTGGTTGGGTCTGCGGCCCTCAAAGCCCTTCAAGGGAATTGCGGAAGACGCAGCCCTGGATCTGAGTTCAGCAGGCAGTTCCTGGTGCTCCTGCCTCCTCCTCCTCCTCCTCTCCCCCAGGCTGTGACAACGCCATCATCATCTGGAACGTGGGCACCGGGGAGCCCCTGATCAACCTGGACGACATGCACCAAGACATGATCTACAATGTCAGCTGGAACCGCAACGGCAGCCTCATCTGCACGGCCTCCAAAGACAAGAAAGTCCGCGTGATCGACCCCCGGAAGCAGGAGATCATGGCGGTGGGTCTCCAGGGGTTTCCCCCGGAGGGTTAGGCTGGGCGGGGGCAACTTTGGCAGGGAAAGTTTCTTGCGAATGAGAGCCAGACCTTCATGTGGCCTCAAAGGGCATGCGTCACACCTCGTAAAATCAGAATCGATTTCCCACGTAACATTGAGAAACTAAATTGGACACCAGTTTTACCTGTGACGCCAGCCTTCTCCCCCTGGGGCTGTCCAGAGATGGGGGTGGCAGCTCCCGTGGCTTTCGGCCAACACGGAGGAGCTTGCCTTATGGAGGTTTGTTTACCCTTTGCTGCGGGGTTCAAAACTGCAGATCCCTGGTGCAGCTGTGAAAGTCAGCCTGGTAGAGTTCCAAGGGCCAGGATCCTGGTCCTCGCCCTGCCTGGCAGCAAAGTCAAAAGTTGTGATCGTTTTGTGCTGTTGGAATGTGACCCCCCCCCCTCCTTTCTTTCTCTCCTCCTCCTCCTCCTCTCCCTCCTTTCCTCCAGGAGAAAGAGAAGGCACACGAAGGCGCCCGGCCGATGCGAGCCATCTTCCTCTCGGACGGGAATGTCTTCACCACGGGGTTCAGCCGCATGAGCGAAAGGCAGCTGGCCCTCTGGAACCCCGTGAGTGTCCCTGGGGAGCTGGGCTGGTGTGGGGGAGCCGCTCTAGAAAGACAAGAGGCGCGTTGCCTTTTGCCCCTAGAGCAGTGTGTCTCTCTTGGCCACTTTAAGGTGGGTGGACTTCAATTCCCAGAATTCCCAACCCAGCCAGCCACATTTCTAGTAGCTTAAATATGAAGAGGAAGTTAGAGAATAGCTTCTAAAATGATGTACCTAAAGCAGATGCTTCCCCAAACTTCCTCTCCATATTTAAACTGTTACAAACGTGGTTGGCTGGGGAATTCTGGGAAATGGAGTCCGCCCACCTTAAAGTGGGCAAGGTTGGGAGACACAGGCAGACACATAAATAGATGACAGATAGACTAGATAGATGGATGGATGAGAGAGAGAGAATAAATCTCCCATTTCTAGTCGATGGGAGGCTATCTAAGACCATGTGCGTGGGTGAGTAGCCAGGTAGGTAGGTAGGTAGGTGGATGGAGAGACAGACAGACAGGTATAAAAAGACAGATGGATGATATAGATCAGGGGTCAGCAACCTGTGGCTCTGGAGCCGCATGTGGCTCTTTCACCCCTCTGCTGCGGCTCCCTGTCACTCAAAATAGGCATCACAACCGCCAATGTGCGACACCCACCGGCACACGATTTATTGAGCTTTTCAATAACCATGGATAAATCCAAGAAAAGAAAAGTTTCAGAAGAAAACAGAACATTTACTTCAACTACATATGCTAGTTTTGTGGCCGCTCAAGAAATAATCAGGCACGGGAAGGGTTTTGTGGCTCCCGGTGTTTTCTTTTCTGTGGGAAATGGGTCCAAAGGGCTCTTTGAGTGTTTAAGGTTGCAGACCCCTGATATAGATGATAGATTAGATAGATGGATGCATGCATGCATAGATGCATAAATAGATTTCTAGCAGCTTAAATATGGAGGGGAATTTTGGGGAAGCGTTTTTGTTTCTGGTACATAATTTTAGAAGCTGTTTCCCAGCGGAGGCAGCCTCTTCTTGAAATAAAAAGGCGTCTTTTGTCTTGCAGAAAAACATGGAGGAGCCCGTGGCCCTTCATGAAATGGACACCAGCAACGGCGTTCTGCTGCCCTTTTACGACCCGGACACGAACATCCTTTACTTATGCGGGAAGGTGAGCCAAAAAAAATGAGAATTTCACCCCAGAATTGGGAGTGGTCAACGCCCAGCTTATTCCTCAGTCTTTCTCATCCTAAAGTGTGTTTTTTTGTTTTGTTTTTTTAATTGAAGAGAAAGGATGATTTATTGATGGCTCTGGAGCTGGGCTTTCTTCTCTGGAATTTGTTTTGGGATTCCCAGGACGCAGGAATAGCCTCTGCGGAATCCACCCTGTTTCTTTGGAAAGTTCCTTCCTTAAATAAGAAAGCATGAGAATATTATTGGCATGGGGTTCTTGGCTGCACTCAGTTTCTGTGCTGTTCCGTGCCCGGAACAGGCCCAGCTCGGTTGGCTGTTAGCAAAGTGTCCCTTGCCCAGGTCTTCACAGCAAGGTTACCCCCCCCCCCCCCCCCCAAAGGCCGGGATGCCCCCCCCCTTCCCCTCTTTTTTAGAAGAGCTCCAGAGACCAAACTCTTCAGCCAGGCTTTTGGGGAGGGGGACAGAGAGACCCCTTTTCTTTCCTGCTTTTCATACAGTAAATGGTTTTACCATAATTCTTGTTTTGATTGTTGACAGCTGTCCAGAATGGTTGGGAGTCGGGGGGGGGGGTATGTTGTCCTTAATAATAGGTAAAGACAGGTAGTCCTCGACTTACAACAGTCCGTTTAGTGACCGTTCAGTTACAACACACTGAAAAAAATGATTTTTCACACTTTGTAGCATCCCCATGGTCAAAATTCGGACGCTTGGCAACTGGCATGTATTTATGACGGTTGCAGTGTCCTGGGGTCACCTGATCCCCCTTTGCGACCTTCTGACAAGCGAAGTCATTGGGGAAGCCAGATTCATTTAACGACCATGTTACTATGTTAACACCTGCAGTGATTCTCTTAACGCTGGCAAGAAAGTTCATATAAATGGGGCAAAACTCACTTAACCAATGTCTCACTGAGCAGCAGGAATTTTGGGCTCCATTGTGTCTGTAAGTCGAGGACTGCCTGTATATGGGCCCTCCCCTCAGGAGCCTGGTCTGGTAGCCTCCCTCTCTCTTACCCCCCTGCAGGGCGACAGCAGCATCCGCTACTTCGAGATCACGGACGAGTCACCCTACGTCCACTACCTCAACACCTTCAGCAGCAAAGAGCCCCAGAGAGGGATGGGCTTCATGCCCAAGAGGGGCCTGGATGTCAACAAGTGTGAGATCGCCAGGTGAAGAGGGGGGGGGAGGCAGGGGTTCCAAAGCAGTGGTGAAATCCAAATTTTTTTACTACTGGTTCTGTGGGCGTGGCTTGGTGGGCGTGGCAGGGGAAGGATACTGCAAAATCCCCATTCCCTCCCCACTCCTGGGGGAAGGATATTGCAAAATCCCCATTCCCTCCCCACTCCTGGGAGAAGGATATTGCAAAATCCCCATTCCCACCCCACTCCTGGGAGAAGGATATTGCAAAATCTCCATTCCCTCCCCACTCCTGGGGGAAGGATATTGCAAAATCTCCATTCCCACCCCACTCCTGGGAGAAGGGTATTGCAAAATCTCCATTCCCTCCCCACTCCTGGGGGAAGGATACTGCAAAATCCCCATTCCCTCCCCACTCCTGGGAGAAGGATATTGCAAAATCTCCATTCCCTCTCCACTCTGGGGCCAGCCGGAGGTGGTATTTGCCAGTTTTCCAAACTACTCAAAATTTCCGCTACCAGTTCTCCAGAACCTGTCAGAACCTGCTGGATTTCACCCCTGTCCCAAAGGGATCATCTCATTAGCCTTCTGAAAACCTCAAACCCTGAAGTGCAATCCTACACAGCCAAGCTCTGGAGTCTCTTGAGATGAAAAGGCTGCCCGGCTTTAGGATGGCAGGACCTCCGTTGCTGGGCTTCGGATTCCCGGCCTGGTTTCTGATGACCAGGGAGGGAGGGAGGGAGAAGGATACCCCTCCCTCTCCAGAGGTCGCTGAAATGGTGGCTTGTCTTCTCCAACTCTCTCCCAGGTTCTTCAAACTTCACGAGAGGAAGTGCGAACCGATTATCATGACCGTCCCCCGGAAGGTGAGCCCGGTTCTTCTGGGTTTGTGAGATTTGGCCAAGTTCTCTGAGGCAGATCAACTGACTGGATTGATGCCTGGTTTTTCTTTTTTTTTGACTCCTCTTCTTCTTCTTCTCCTTTCCCAGTCTGACCTCTTTCAGGATGACCTCTATCCGGACACGGCTGGGCCCGAAGCTGCCCTGGAAGCCGAGGAGTGGTTTGAGGGAAAGAACGCTGACCCCCTCCTCATCTCCCTGAAACACGGCTACATCCCAGGGAAAAACCGGGACCTCAAGGTGGTCAGGAAGAACATCCTGGACAACAAGCCAGCTGCCAACAAGAAGAGCGATCTCATCAACACCCCAAAGAAAGCGATGGACACCTCAAACCCTGTGAGTAACCCCCCCTCCCCCACCCATCCTTCTGCACCAGAGAAAATCCTTCTGCTTCACCGTCTCTGGTCCAGATCCATCCTTTTCTGTCAGCCTCGGCCCCTCTTAGCCAAGCTGGGTTGGGGGCTTCCCTTATCCTCCCGCTCCCCATTCTGGGTTCTTCCCATCCCCACTTCAGGACCGACTCTTTGTCTCTTTCTCCTTGTCGCAGCAAAACGAAGCCAAATTGGAAGAAATCTTGAAAGAGCTCCGGTCGCTAAAAGACACAATCGCGCATCAGGACGAGCGCATTTCCAAATTAGAACAGCAGGTGGCGAAGATATCCGTCTGAGAGCCAGCCGGGGGGGGGGGTCTACGGCAGGGGGAGGAGGAAGCAGGATTCGGACTGTGAGCCACCTGCAGGGCTGCGGAGAGGGACGGGCACAGCCAGCGAGCCCAGCACTGTCAGCGGACGTGCCCGGCATGGCAGCCAAGTCTTTTCTAGCGAGCAGCCCACCTTGTCTCCTGACGTCTTTGTGGCCATTCCAGAGCAGACACTGCCGCCTCCTTCCTCGCGTTTGTCCATCGGTCGGAGGGTCAGCCATTCCACGGGATCCGTAAGACGCCGGGATCCCTGCCGAACTTCCTAGAATCGGGGACCAAAATTTCTTCGTTTTAAAAAATACACACACACACACACACACGTTTTGTTTTTTCTTACTTTCAAGTTGCCAAAATCCAAAACTTTTTATCATTTTATTTTTTTTTCCTTTCTAGCATTTTTACAGTATTTTGTGTTTTTAATCTAAAAGGACGTTGTGCGTTTGTGCCATCTGAACAACAAATAAGTTGTGTATGCTTGTTTACTTTTGAGCACCTGGTGCGGCCACCCCACTGCCAGGTCCAAAAGACCAATTTTAATGTTTCTGCCCTCCGATTTCTGGTTCCCCTGAAATTTGCGTGGATTTGAGGAGGGGGGAGGCGCCCTTGCTTTCCCACCCGCTGCCATTCCAAGGGACTGAACCCCCACCCCACCCCCACTTTCCCCAGAGCGTCCTCTCTCAAATCTGGGGAGCCTTTATTCCAACATTTGTTGAGCTTTGGTTTAATCTTAATCATTGTGTCAAACTTTGGCATGTTGTGATTGCTGATTTCTGGGTCCATGTTTCCTGCAGATGTTTGTTCCTATTTATCATCCAGGTGTTACAAGGTTATAAAAAAAATATGAATTTGGGACATTAAGGACAAATGCACTAAATTTTGCAAGCTGTTGGGAAGCTCTTTGAAATTATTTACGCGCACCTCCTTCCCTCCCTCCCTCCCTCGCTCTGCTCCAAGCTGGGGCTGACCTCCAAACCCTCAACCCTCCCTCCCTCCCTCCCTCCCCTCTTGCCAAACACCCCACCCAGAGGCCTGCCTTCTTGAAGCTCCTGGTCTTGCTCAGAAGCGACTCCTCAGCGCTTCCCACAGAGTGGGAGCCCCGTGCCACGGTGCTGTGTACTGGTTGCTGGGAAGGGAAAAGACGGCCGTCTTGGGGGGTGCCAGAGAATGGACCCCAGAGGCAAAACGCCAGAGGGATTCTGGGAATGCAATCCTGTCAAAAGTCAAAGTCCTTTCAGGAAAGACCCTCATGGGCACCAGAAGCCTGTCGTACAGCTTTGAACATGGGGATTGTTACAGATAGATTTGGGCCCTTTAAAGGCTAATTTGTGGATGAATATTTCTAACAATTTTTGTGGCTTTTGGTCAGCCATAGTCCTCCTCCTCCTGGGCCTTCAAAGGGTTTCCAGTGGCTCCTGGAAAAACTCCTGTTAGCCTCTTTGCTCCAAGCATGATGTGCCTGCCATGTTCTCACACACACACACACACACACACATACACACACTTGGCTTCATGGCAGGGTTAAAGTCCCAATGAGAAGAGCTTCCTTTCTCATCCACTGTTTGGGGTTAGGGTCCCTAAGGTGGCCGTTAAACACCCCCCCCCCCCAGAAAAGGTTAGAATGCAAATTTTGCGATGTGCCCGTCCATCCGTGTGGGAAAAGAAGTCATGTGGACAGATAAGAGAAAGTTTGCAGGAAATGGGCTGGAGGCAACAGACCCAACGAGATAAGATAGTCGTAGAAAGATGATACGAACGAGTGGGAAAGTTAGAGAATGTTGGTGGGGGTGAATTCTGAGTTGGGGGAGTCTGGTTCCCTTGTGCTAGAGTTGGGTGAAGAGTTTTCAAAAGAGGGAAGGGCGATTTGCATCCCCCTCTCCCCTGTTATTTACACTGCCAAACTATAAGTTTTTCCAACTTGGCATCGTCTGGACTGCAGCTCCCAAGATTCCCAGCTGACACCACAGAATTCTGGGACTTGTAGTCTAGAAGATGGAGAAAGCCATTATGTACATTGGGTCAGCTTCACCTTTGGGCATGTCTTGTGTTTACCGTCAGCAGAAGGTTGGAGACCCGGGGTGGGCAATTATGGTCCCTTTACAACCAGTGGACTTCAACTCCCAGAATCCCTGAGCCAGCCAGTCCACCGGTCGTGAAGGGGCCATAGTTGCGCATCCCTATTGCAGGCGGAAGAAGCGAGGTCCTTCTCTTTCAGAATGGGGCATGTTTTCTTCCTTCCTTCTGCCTCAACAGTATTAGTTTCCCTGGTGTGATTCTTGCACTTTCCCAAGAGCAGCGTGGATGGAAGTCCTTGAGAAGCTTCCTGTGCCATTGATGTTTTATTTCACGGGACGCTGAGCCTGCAGCTTCTTGCTCCCTAGAACGTGGCCAGCCAGTGTCCCCGAGGGGATGTGCTGGTAGAAGACCCCCCCCCCCCCCGTTGTGTCATGTCCAACTACTTGCTTCCAATTTCAAACAATTAAAAGAAAATGAATTACCAAACCCACACCGTGAACCAGCTGCTCTCTCTGATTTTGTTTCCTTGCGTGAAGGTGCCCGGTTGAACCTACTTGAGTTCTGCAACCAGCTTGCCCTGAAAGAGGCTACTGGGAGTCATGGGGGTGACTGGTTGGTTCGCCAAGCCAATATAACTCAAGCCATCAAAAGGGGTTCAGAGTTGGCAGGTGGAGATCTAATTCCAGGGTGGGCTTATGCGACAATGAAGAGTTGACATCTTGCCACTGACTGAAGGCTGAGACCTCAAGTCAGGACACCAGTTTTGGCAAAAGTGGTCAAGATCAGCTTTCTCTGCATCTCCAGAAGGACAAGCTTGAGAACACCCTCTTAAGACTCCAACTCCAAAGTCTCCAAGGGATGATGTTGTGTCCATCATCCTTTTGAGTAAGTCAGACCAACGTGGCTTAAATCGATTCAGCTGGGTTTATTGCTGGCCTCCTGCCCAGCATGAAACCAACTCACAGTTTCAGGTTGAGTTGGTTGGTTGGAGCTCCCCTTCCTTCCACCGCTTCCTGAGCCTGGAGGACGTGGGGACAACAGCTTGTGGGGAAAGGTTCACTGGGGTCTGGGTGCTGTTGCCCACGGGGGTGCAGGCAGTGCAGCCAGATTTGAGGCTCCAAGGGCCAATGGCAACACGCACAGGTGAAAAAGATGGTGGTGGTGGAGGTGATTTTTCACTTATTTGGGAGTGAGGAGCACTTCTCTGGAGAAGATCCAGAGCCTGCACAAGGGCTGGATCACCATCCAAAATTTGTCCTTAAGGACGCTGGCAGGAAAGGTGTGATTGCAACTCATTTTCCACACTTGAATATAATGCTCTGTGCGGGAGGGGAATCACCCTATGTCCTGCATGCATCCATAAATAAAATTTTGGAAAAATGAAATTGCTAAAACGGTGCAGGTAGGAAAGCCAAAGGTGTGTTCTTGTGGTCTTTTTGAACGAGGTGGTATCGGCGACAGAACACGCTGCCAAGGAAGCAGAAGAATTGGCTAAATAACAGACAACTGTGGTGTGGAAACCCTCTTGGAAGAAGATCTCACTCGGCTCCCAGAAGTTCTGCCTCCTGCCCTTCCGGAAGAGGCATAGGAACAAGACCAGATGATTGGTGGGCTACTTTCCAGGAAAGCGGGGGTCTCAGGAGTGGAAGGCCTTGGACCTAGCATCTCCAGAGGCTGCCTCACCTGTCAAGGCAAAAAGAAATTTGTCCTGCAAAAATTCACACGTGGGCCTCCTTTTTATGAAGTGATACTTGGTGGATTACACATCTGTGTCACTTCCTCCCAGGCATGGCAAGAAATCTCAACTCTGCAGGCTCCTCTCTCCAAATTCAGGAATTCTGCAGCAGTTCACAAGCCCGGCACGGCTGAATTAGTTGCAGGCAATTTCACAGCCCTTCTGTGTGTAAATCTGATGCTTGCCCTACTTCAAAACCCAAGTGCTCTGGAGTCTCCCCACGGCTTTGCCCCTCACCCGGAGACCCTTTGCATATTACCCAGCCTAGTGTCACTCCTTACGCACCAATTGCGTACCACATCCAGACTGGCCCATCGCTATGACATCTCAGCCACTGGACCCCCTGATACAGAAACTTCCAGGTTTATTCTGACCAATTCGACATTGCACGATGGTGGCCCTTGGAGATCTCCTGCAGGCGGATGGCCTTAGGCCTTCTTGGGCTGAGCCTCCATGTCTGTGAAGAGATGTGTCGCCATCCAGATATTTCCCACCGGACCGTAGCTGGTCCTGCACCTTCTCAGTGCAGAGAAATCGAGCCCAGAACCGCCTTGCTGATGGAAGTGCAAGGCCTCCCCTCCTAAGCCCTGATCCGGTGCAAAGCCTCATAACCACAGCTCTTCTTTTGCCACCCATACGCACAGCCTCCCTCCTCTCCCCCACAAAGGAAGCTGCATCATGTGTCCTCCAAACGGCTCTTCTCATTTCGCATTCTCATGCTGGCCCGACACAGGGTTCCTGTTTTCTCTCGTAGCAGGTAAGCCGGACTCGGCCAGAGGGGAATCTCTTGGCCGGTGTCTCTTTCTTTCTGCGTTGGCTAGGAGAACCAGGCTGCTAGAAGAGCCTGTGCTAAGGGTGGCTTCTGTCCCTCACAGACGTCTTCGGCAATTGAACCGAACGGTTGTTTACGTTTCTGGCTACGTTTCCTTTGGGTGGTAGCTGAGCTGTCTGGCTAAGGGGGGCCCTGGAGAGTAGGACATTGTGGTGGTGGATGATGGTGGTGGGGAGAAGAAGCAGCCTCAGGTTCTGGTGAGGTTTAGGCTCCTGGAGGCAAACTGGGTTGCAGAAGGTGTGATCCAGAACTTCATTCTCAGGGATGGATGGGGCTGGGTGAAAGTTGCTTTGGGCTCTCTGATTGAGTGAAGATAAGTAGGCAAACTTTGCTTCCTTTGTGCTGTGCTCCTCCCTACGTGGATCTGTGCAGAGAAACGGATGCTTTGAGATATAACTTAAAGTTCGGAAGGTCTGCATTTGCTCAACTGGTGGCAGTCGCTTGTTCACTTTTTGGGTGCTGTGAGGCATTACGGGAATCAGCAAGTGGGCACAACCACATCTTTGAAAAGATTGCAAGGCTGGACTGCAACTCGTGGTAAACTCATAGGAAACTTTTAGTCAGTCCTCCTCCAGAAAGATCTGAAGTTGAGATTCTGAGCTGACTGTTCCTTACGTGTTTCTGTCCGTCATCTGTATGCAAGACTGCCACAAAAAAAAAAATCTCCGTGGGGTTTGGTAATGTAAATATTGGTATGACTGATCCTTCTCTCTGGTGAGCATCTCTCTTGGCCCAAATGAAGCAAGAAAAGTTGTTCTCAGAAATGAGGATCTTAAAATATGGGGGGAGGTGGAGCCCAAGCGCTCACTTCCCTGACCTCCTTTAAGTTTTCATCAGGGTTCATTGCGATAAAAGGCCTTTTCCTAGCCTGTTTTCACTAGATAAGTTGGATGTTGAGCCCCTGATGCCTTAGCTATGCTGGAGAGGTTTTTGTGAAGGAAAAAGTAGAGGCTGATGATTTGCGTCTTTCACTTTCTCCTACCTGCATCAGGCAAAATGGCTTCCCGGTGGATCTTCTGGCCCATGGTTCTCTCAGGCGTCCTCCTTTCTGGTGATTTCAAGGGTACGCAAGATGGCCCCAGCACGAAGAACGCAGAGACTCCTGCCAGCACCAATGATTGGAAGTGGAAAGCAGCAGCTGAGGGAAGCAACGGATCCTTCTCTCAGTTGCTCCATCGAATAAGACAGGATCCAGTGAAGAAACAGGCCAAAAAGCCTCCTGCCCTTCCAACAGCTTCACGCCTCTCGAAGGCTCTCCAGGAAGAGACCACCTCCTTCCCCACGGAGATCATGACCAAAGTTGCACTGAAAGGTTCTCCAAAGAACTTGCTGCCACAAACCAAACCAAGTAAGATGAAATCAAAGCCTCTTCCCCTAGAAATGACTGTAACGTGGCCATGGCTGCTTGACGTCACCTCCAAACCCTCTCAGGCGCCTCTTTCCACAGTGACATTGGAGCAAGACTTTGAGACTACTGGACCTGGCTCCACAAGAAAAGACTCCCTCCATCCTTTGTTCAAAAAAATCACACCTAGTCTGGCATTCTTGGACGATCTATCTACTGCGTCCTCTCACGATCTGATTGATGATTCAGGATTTTCCACAGCTACCCAGAACCACATCCCACCCTCACCTAAACCAGACACAAAGTCAAAAATAAAACTTCCTCTCTTAACAGCTACTTCTGCAACACCACAACATCTGGATGAAATCTTGTCTACATCTCAGATTTTGGTGGATGACACAGAGTTTTCCACAGCCACCCAGAAGCATAAGTTCGACTCAGGTAAGCCCGGCCTAAATCCAAGGGCCAAACCTCCCCTTGTAAAAGGTACATCTGAGCCCTATAAAACACAGAAATGGCTGGATGAAATGGTGTCTACAACCTTGGCTTTTTCTACAAAGTCCCCGAGACAAAGCTTGGGTCTTATCACATCGAGTTCCTCAGCCACCACCCAAGGGAAGTCTCCCGTTGCCAATGATACCATCCCTCTGATTGGAAAGTGCTTGCTGGCCATCCTTCTCCTGGCCCTGGTGGCCGCCATCTTCATTGTATGCTCCGGTGTCCTGGCCATCATGCTGTGGCGTCAGAAGAGAGCCTACAGACTGGGCCAGGCCAACCACACAGAAATGGTCTGTATCTCGTCCCTGCTATCTGCTGAGAAGGAGGAGGAGGAGGAAGAGGAGAGGAGGAGGAGACAGCCCAAAGTGAAGCGGGTACAACTTCTCGGGGAGACAGCATCCGAGATGGAGGCGGACAACTTAACTCTGAACAGCTTCCTCCCAGAGCATTAATAGTTGGTGCTCCAGACATCTTTGGTTCACCTTCTTAGAGCCTCTTGATCTTCTCCAAGACCGTCATCTGAACCCAGGACTATATCTGCGGTACATCCGTATCTTCTCATCTGGGTGGACCCTTTGCACTGACTCATACATTTGTTTGCCTGCTATAGAAACCCAACATTTATGTCCTGCAAAGTGTCGTTTCTTGGAGAACTATTGTGGCTTGTTGAAAACAAGACTTGGCACACTGTTTTTCTGCAGCCCTGCAGATCAGATTAGAGGTGCCTGGAAAGGAGACATTCTGAAATACGTAAATTATTTTTTAGTTAGATTGTTACTTGGTTTCCTCCCAGGAGCTCAAGGCTTAGGTCAGTGGTGAAATCCCATTTTTTTTACTACCGGTTCTGTGGGTGTGGCTTGGTGGGTGTGGCTTGGTGGGCGTGGCAGGGGAAGGATACGACAAAATCTCCATTCCCACCCCACTCTGGGGCCAGCCAGAGATGGTATTTGCCGGTTCTCTGAACTGCTCAAAATTTCCACTACCCGAACCTGTCAGAGCCTGCTGGATTTCACCCCTGGCTTAGGTCCTCCCTGCTCCCCCAGACTGTGAAGATCTTGTTCAGCTACTCCTCTGCCATAGGAAGGTCTCGCTTTTTTTTTTTTTAATTTGATTTATATGCCGCCCTTCTCCGGAGACTCAGGGCGGCTTACAATGCGTTAAGCAATAGCCTTCATCCTTTTGTATATTTATACAAAGTCAGCTTATTGCCCCCACAAACTGGGTCCTCAATTTACCTATCTTAGAAAGGATGGAAGGCTGAGTCAACCTTGAGCCTGGTGAGATTCGAACTTACTTTAATTGCAGACAGCTGGTGTTAAATTAAAGTGCTTTAGTGTGCAGAGCTATCCAGGCATTTCCTTTTTTGAAACCATCATATCTAGAAAGTAATAACTGAAGCGTGAAATCTCAGAACAGACCTAAACATTTCCGCTTTTTTTGTATTTTATTACAGAACTAAGATTTCTAGAGTGTTTTTGAGATGGATTGAGTTGAATGGAGGGTGGGGGGGGTGGTCTTAAGTAATTCACGTTTAAAATAATTAAAACATTTTGAAACGCAAGAGTGGTTGTAGCATCCCTGGAACCAATCGGCCATTGCAGAAACATCATATTCTGGGCTCATTCCAGGTCCTGTTGGGGACGGTTCAGGAACTGGAAAGTCCCATTTCCCTATTCTGAGCTCCTTGTGATTTTGCTCTCACCTCAATTTTAAACATTCTATTCTCTCTTCCAGTTTTGCAACAAAGCATAAAGGGAATTTTTCTCTTCTCTTCTCTTCTCTTCTCTTCTCTTCTCTTCTCTTCTCTTCTCTTCTCTTCTCTTCTCTCTTCTCTTCTCCCCTTCCCTCCTCCGTTGCTGTTTCATTCTTATCTGCATTTGTGAGGAAGCCATCTTATCCCACCTCAGCTGTTTGTCTATCCACAGCAACTTGGGCTACAGGGAAGGCCCATCCCAATGGACTCCAATTCCATCATCCCCTGACCAGCAGGGGCTGGAACGGAGAGAAGCTCTTCTCTCCATTTATTTTTGGGTCCTTGTATCTACAAACTGGTTGGCTCCTCCTCACCCCCCTCCGCTTTCTCCTGGTTCCCTCTTTCTGCTTCACTGTTTTGATTTCTCTTCCTCCTCACCCAGGCTTTGTCATGGGTACCACCTGCTAGCCACAAATCCTTTTTTCGGCACTTAGAAGGGCTTGTTTTGCAGAAAAGTCCTTCGTTTTTCACCAGCCGGTCTCTAAATTTGATAGTAGCGATGATCCAACATATGCATTGGAGACCATCGTAGGCAAAGAAAAGAAGGAAAATGACCTGTAAAAACAGTATGAATTAAGTGAGAACATTCAGAAAAAGACTTTGGGGGGAAATAGTGCCAGAATTGCAGATGGATTGTCTGTGGACTTTTCACTAAAACAGAGGGAAAAATGGTGCTGAAATGGGCAGAATTAATTTCCCTTCCTTGCAGAAAAGGAAACACATTTATCCACCTGTTCTTCTGTTGGGCAATTCAACTGCCTCCCAGAAGCGCCAGAGCAGGCGTGGAAGCTACTCGTGAACGTATCTCAATAATTAATACTCAGCTAGACTTCTCCTGAGCCTGCAGGTTCTGAGGAACCTCTCTGGAAGTTCCCCTCTGTGTGGGAGGGAGAGGACTGACGTCAACAGGCCCCTGAGTTCAAAACAACAGCCAAACCTTCAGCGCTGGAGATAGGCAGCTTTTCTAAAGGAAGCTCACAGGTACTGCCTCTTCCCTTTTCAAGATGCTTTTCTGCTGGTTATCTTGCAACATCAGCCCGAGAGGAAGAGATCTTGTTGGGCCCTTGCAGATGACTCACACGGGGCCAGGGCTGCCTCTGATGCAAACGGATGGGATGGGACGGAAACGGGCTTTGCAGAACCCCCAGGAAGGTCTCTGCTGCTGCGGTTAAGACAGGGTCTCTCTCGATTCTGCCAGGTGCCCAGAGGGACAGAAGCCGAGCTGCTTTCAGGGAGAGAGAAAACTGCAGCTTTCAAAAGAGTCCCCTCCCTCTCCCCCCCCGAGGAAGGAAGGGAGGGCAGGAGGGAGGGAGGGAGGGAGGGAGGGAGGGAGGAAGGAAGGAAGGAAGGAAGGAAGGAAGGAAGGAAGGAAGGAAGGAAGGAAGGAAGGACTGTTGCAGTGTCCTGGGGTCATCTGATCCCTTTTTCTGACATTCTGACAAGGAAAGTCAATGGGGAAGCCGGATTCACTTAACAACCATGTTACTAACTTAATAACTGCAGTGATTCACTGAACAAATGTGGCAAGAAAAGTCGTAAAACGGGGCAAAACTCACTTAACAAATTTCTCACTCAGCAACATAAATTTTGGGCTCAATTGCGGTTGTAAATCGAGAACTCTCTGTATTCCTCTCCTCTTTCTGTAGCTTTTTGCCTGCCAGACTTTTTCCTGGCCATCCAGATCTTGGCCCTAATTTCATTTATTGATGAAGTTGATATGCTTAAACCTGCAGTGAGGCTTTCTTGAGCCACCTGTTTCGACCAGCTTTTAAAACCCGGGAATAGATTTGATGAAGAAAAGGACTTTTGGCTCCTGATGAGTTGTTGGTTTGGATTAGAATCCTGCAACACTGAAATATTCATCTCTGCTGACTGATCTATTAGATTGATAATATGAAAAATTAGAAAATTAGTAAATTATGAATATGAGATGAAGCACAAAAGATTTGTAACTGACTGACACACTGGTTGCAATTGTAATGGAGGATGATGTTTTATGTTTTGTTTAAAAAGTAAATTTTTTTTTTTAAAAAAAGAAGGTCCTCATGGAAAGGTTTTTTTCCTGCTGTAGCATCAGAGATTGGAAGGTTTTCGGCTTGGATTGTGAAATATTCAGGGGTGTTGACAGACCAATCTTTTATTGTGCAATTCTCTTCTTTGGCTTGCCTACATTCTGGGCATAACCCTTCACTTGCAAACTTGTTAGAAATGCCATGTATCTCATCCACTTCTAGATTTTTTAAAATATTCACTGGAGGAAGATTTTTTTTTTTAAAAAAAGGCAAGATAGAATAAATTTTGTAAGCACTGAAAGGTTCCCAGATGGTTGCTCAGATTTTACATCATAGCCCTCCTGTGGCTTCCCAGCCTGAAAATGTTCCGTCCTCGGGGTTGTGACGCATCCTCGACTACTAACATTTTGGGAGAAGCATTTGAAGAACACGCAAAGCCTTGGACCAACCATACAGTAAATAGCAACTCTCCTCATTGCCACCAGAGGGCGCCCCAAACCAGAAGACCATCAGACACGCAGCCAAGCGTCCAGCATCACTTTAGACCTGGTCTTTCAATCTATCTATATCCTAATTATTGATATTTGTAGATGTTAATATATTTTAAACACGCAGACGGACATCTCTAGATGTGGATGCACACAAAACATATCAACTGTGCATCAGATTAGATGCACATTGGACACTGAGCTGAATGCAACGGGGATCTAGTCATATGTAGGATTGAAATGTGCAGGAATGTCCTTCAGATGTTATTCTCAGCTTAGCAAAGTTGGCAGGGGGCTGGCATGGGGGGAATCTACCCGTCATAAATCACCGGAATTTTATTGCTCCCACCCCTGTCTGTCAGGGATAGTCCAGCAACAGCCTCTCTCTGCCTGCCTGCCGGCTCTCTTTGCCCCAAATACTGACTGCCGTTGCAGTTGGGAGGGGGGCCTCTGCTTTGTCTTGAAGATCCAAGGATCCCGCTGAGCTCCATGTCCCATCTTTCCTTGGCAGCTCCTGTCTCCTCCTTCCTTTTCTGCTGTTGATTTATCCCTGCTCTGCAATTCAAACCAGATGTGCTCCAGCCTAAACCCCCATTAGTGCTGGCACAGAGTCCGCTTTGTAAAGAGGCTGTATGAATCCTGGGCCTCCCCCTTCCCTCTGGAGCATCTACAGGCCGTTGCCCCATTTTGTGAACCGCCAAGAGTGTGGAAATGGGCAGAGGAGGGCTTGGGAAAAGGGCCCAGGTGGGGCATAGCAAAAGGAGAGGAGGAGTGGCTGAGGATCAACATCCATTATTTAAAAAGAAGTGTTTGCTTTACGCTGGCATTCTGCATTTTCTTCCCTGAGGCACAGCACAAGCGGGCATCATTTTCCAGGCATTTATCTGAGTGGGGCACTTCCCTTGGCAGAGGTAGCCGGTGCCAACAAAAGTGCCTTGGATGCAAAAGATTAAAGAAGAAAAACGGGAAACAGAAGTGATTGAATTAGAAACGTCCATCCTCCACAGATTGCCACACTGAGCAGAAGCTTCTAAATTAGCCAACTAGCATTCTGACCCCACCCGTGGCTTCCTTTAGCCCTTTGTGCCCCTCCAGATGCCCTCTGTGGACACACTTTCTCCAAATAAGGCTCCCTTGGAAGGAGTGGATCTGCAAGAGTGCCAGTGCTTCTGTTGCCAATCGTCCTTTTCTGGGTCCTGGGCCTCCTTGTCCATTCAGCCCTGCCCAGAAACTGCCCGCCCTTCTACCGTTGACGCTGAATGGGGATGCCCTGTGCCAGGGCATCCAAAGGAGAACCGGAGCCCTTTTCCCCCAGGCTGTGACCCTGGCACACCTTTGCCCCCTCTCTGTTCTTCCTGCTTTCTGGATTTGCCCATCTGAGGCTCATTCTTGCCTGATGTCCCGGTGGGGAATGTAAACATTCATTCCATCGGGATGAATCAGCTCTCGCATCCTGAGAGGCGCAGAGGGAAGAGGCTGTGGCATTTCTTCCCACCCAGCGATGGACGGAGCCATCACTGGGATTTTTGCCAATGAAAAATCCAAGCAGAGAAAGGCCAGACGTCAGCTGGAGGTGCTTTCCACCCGGCGGTTCATGATGGAGCCAACTGGGTTTAATTTGCACGCAAACTGGGGTGGGAACTTGAGAGCTGGTGGGTCTGGTCTGCAGAGGCGATGTTGGAAATGCCCAGTCCTGCCCCAAAGAATGCCTAGGGATCTGCCTTTGTCCCCTGACCCCCAAGCCAGGATGTGCCCCTATGCAGACAGTTCTGGGCTCTTCATTTGCACCCTTCTGGACGCTGCAAGTTGCCATCCCTCATGGAGGACAAGCCCCATTGCCTCCCAGGGGAAAAAAAGGGGCCTGCAGTTCTCCCAGGGCGATTTTCTTCCAACACAGCCATGGGGCCTTCCGCTTCTGACTTCATCGCCACGTGCAAAGTTGCAAAGCTTTGCAAAGTTGCAAGGCTCTGTAGAGACCAAATTGCGCTGGGGACGGAGCGGTTTGGGGAAGAGAACTCCTCCCTTGAGGTGGGTGTTTTGGGGGCACGGGTGGGCCCCTGGGTGGCCACAATGAAACCCTGCAGAGCCAACCTCGGACACATCAGAGGCGCCCACAAGGCTGAGGCCGGCTCTCCTGGACCGACTCTCCTTTGAACTTTGGCCAAAAGACTCCGTTTCTGCAGCCCACTTCCAATGAAAGAGGCGTGTGTGTGTGCGTGCGTGTGCGTGTACGTGTGTGTGTGCTGTGTTCACTGAGCTGGCCCCCACCTGCAAAGCCAGCACTGCCTTCCCTGTTTTGTACCCTTGGTCCCTTCTAACCCTCCACGCTCCAGACTCACAAAGATTCGGCCACAGGA